CAGCCCCGCACCACCACAGGATTCTTATTGAAATCCTGAAGCCTGATGTGTGGTTTGTGCAGAGGGGGTCCCCCGTTGGGACACACTGTCCGCAACGTCTCCTCTGAGATAATGGTAAACTCAGAGCCCATGTCAAGTTCCATGCTACAGGGGGACCCCTCTATCCGGACCGAAACGTGGACTTTGTTCCGGCCCTGACGGGGCAAGTCTGAGGCTGGGGCTGGTGGTCGACGGCATTGGTGTCGATCGAATGAAGGTCCACAGTGTGGATGGGTTCCAACTGGTGGCTGGATTTCCTGGGTGGTTGGCGACGGCCGCGGCAGACCTTGGCGATGTGGCCCTGTTTTTTGCAGGACCTGCAGACCGCGTCGCGAAAACGGCAGCTCCGGCGTTCGTGCGCCTCTCCGCAGCTGGCACACGAAGCGGCTGGCTCCGATGCCCTTGCTGGCGGGGCGCCCCTCGAACGGTGAGGTTGTGGTGTCTTGCGGTGGAGTTGTGCCACTGCTTCTTCCTCGGAGTCGGCCGAATCTCCCCCAGTTTGGGTGCGGTGTACCTGATGCCCACTGTGGCCTGGATGCGAAGTTTTGAAAGCTGCCGCATCCTTTAAAGCTGTGGCTATCGTGAGGTCGTCATCCCAAATCAGGCGCCTCCTCAAATTGGCCTCTCATAGCCCTACTAAGAACTGGTTCATCAGGGTTTCGTCCAGGTTGAGAAAGTCACATTTCATGGCGGCCTTCCGAAGGTTGGCCAGGAAGTCCGCAGCTTTCTCCTCGGGGCCCTGAACCTGCGCAAAAAAGTCCATGCGGGCCGCGAATTTGGAGGGCTGTGGTGCTAGATGGGCCGTGAGGGTCGCGGTGAGGGCATCGTAGCTCACCTCCTCTACCTCCTTAGGTGAGATCAGGTTCTGCAACAGGAGCAGAGTGTCCATACCACACAGGCGTATGAGCTGGGACCTCTTCATATCAGCGTCGGTGACCCGCATGCAGACGAGATAGTGCTTGAGGATCCTCACCCATGTGGTCCATCGCTCGGGATGGGCCAAGTCAAACGGAGCAATGCCCTTGTGTGAGGTTCCCGCTGGGGCGGCGGTGGCGGGCCCGGAGGATGCGTTGGTCCCGGAGGATGAGGAGGTGGGAGCAGAGGTGGGAGCAGAGGTGGCGTCTTGCTCCGACATTTTCGCGGATGCTCTTGGACGCTCGGCGAGGAAGACACGGTGAGGCCGGCGAGACGGTCAAGCGAGCTGAGCCTGAGGCGTGGCTAGGGCGGCGGCAGCGACTGGAGCGTGGAGGACGGCACTGCTGCTCGAGAGATCAGCGGTGTGCGAAGCGGAGCCAGGAGCGGAGCGATAAGCAGTTGCCGGAGAGCTGGGATGCGAAGCGGCGCGGTTCCCGGAGAGGTCTTGGCGTCGGGGCTCGGTGCGGTGCTTGAGTTGGCGTCCAGGTCTTTGTTCAAGGGGTCGTGGATCCCACCTTCGTCGCCAGTGAAAAGTACTCAGAACGTGGAGTGATTTCAGCATGAGTACTTTTATTAGTGAAGAACAAAGACAAAGACAAGGAAACCAGTTCGCAGGCCGGTTTATATGCGTTCAGAAAACCCGCCACCAAGTACACCTAAACACACCCCCTACTCCCGATAGGCTATTTACAGTAACCGGGCGACCACTGGTCTCCCGGCTGGGAAGCTAGCCCTTTTGATTGGGCCGGCTAGGATCCTTCGGATCCTTTGTCTTTCGACCGAAGCTACAGATAAACTGTGCCTGGCCAGCCCGGGCAAGTCCGGGCATGTCAGGCTGAATGCATTACACGTGGTAATGGTGGCAGTACATTACAGTTTGCCATTACCTTCCTCTGCCGTAGTCTTCCTTAGTGGTCTCCCATCCAAGTACAGACCCTGCTTAACTTCCAAGCTCCAATCAGATCAGGCTAGTTGGGAGTATTAGGGCTGCGACCAATGTTTGCTCTAATTCCCACACAAACACACACTGAGCAGAGCAGTTCACATCCTGAGCAGAAAATAACTGATGTAATCTTAAAGTGGGCAATGGGCAGTGCAAGACCCTGTGTGACTCGACTGCTGCTGAGTGGGGCTTCCTGTGTTAATGAGCAGCTGCTCACTTGCACAACTTAGAGGGAACACTGGTTGTGACAAGAAGGACTACACTGTAACAAAAGCTAATGTTCTAAGCAATACATCTTTGTCACATGAGCTTATTGGCTTCAAATTTTATAGCATCACTAAAGTGAAGCATGCAGTATAAAAGGACTAACCAAGCACACAGCTTCCCCACCACCACCTTGGAAAACATGTTTTACCTACCTCTAGACATTGTGTGGCATGCCACCTTAGCAAGCTTCCTGTTACCCCTACTCATTCTAACTAAAGAGCATTCCGTTAGGCTGGTCTCTATGCCTCTGCAAGTCACTTTAAGGCATTCTGATGAATTCCAGGCATCATCTGGGTGTTCAAATTCTATGCGGTCAGCCCCTCTGCAACATGCAAACAAAATGTGTTGAGAACCATGTGTGTTATTTAGTTCAGACGTTAATGTCCACTGTGGACAAGGAGAGAAAATTGGTAATTTTACCCCATCTTGTAAAGCCACCAGGCACAGAGAAGGCAAGATCAAAGGATTGGTTATCTCTAATGGAACTCAGGTTCTGATTCCATTATGTCGATAAAACTATATAGCTATGACTGTGGATGTTTGACAAGTGCCTGTGGGAGGGGATGCATGGAGGCGTCAAGAGCTAGAAAGAGCTCAGCACTTCTAGAACGTGTGTCCCTTTGAGCCTTTAAGCCATACTCTCTGCCCTCTCCTTCCAAGTAGATCTGACAGCCCTGTGTTTTAAGATGTGGGTGAACTGCCATCATGTAGCATTTGGGACTGAGTTACATATAGCAGCATCCTGTATAAGGCCCCATTTGGTAACTTTATCCCACTATTCCTACTGTCCGCTTGTATACCCATTCCAAAAGGACACTACATAATCTCAGAGTACAGGTGAAAGGCAGAAGGTACATCTAGTGTTGCAAACTCCAAGATGTGAAATTCCTGGAGATTTGGAGGTGGAGCCTGGGGCGGGCAGGGTATAATGCCATAGAGTCCATTCTCAAAGCTGCCATTTCTTCCAGGGGAACTGATCTCTTTAGTCCAGAGATCAGCGGTAATTCCAGATCTCCAGGCCCCACCTGGAGGTTGGCAATCCCAGGTTCATCAGCCTTACCAAACTTAGCCGCTCCTGTTTATATGGGACATCTCCTGGAAACCCTATACATGCTGCTTTGGGTTTCATGGTGGAGGAAAGGAAAAAATATACATTAAGTAATGTATTTATTTGTCATAGAGAGTGCTGACAGTTTTTTCACAGACACAAAAATATACTTAGTATAGTAGGCAGGCAAATAACTATTACAGTGCCATCTTAAGCAGAGTTACACCCTTGAGGTCCATTGAGTTCAATGGGCAGAGAAAGGTGTACTTCTCCTTGGGGTGACAGGGTAAGGGTCAAACTCCACAAGACAATTTTTAACAAGTCAGGTCCAGGTTCCCTGGTATAGTTTGGCCCTTAATTCCTCTTCTTCATCAGTTTCTGTATAGTGGGATGGATTTTGAGTTACTACATTTTATGCTGATGTCACTAAAAACCCACTGAAAAGTACAGCTCTGGATTTCGTGACCACTATGATAGTACTTACCATTTGGGGTTCCACAAAGGTACATCTTGTCCTCCTGGCTCCTTATCACCTCCATGGACCATGATTTGCCATCAATAAGCTAACCATTTTGAGCTAAATAAGAAATTCTAATGATAGCTTTTCTAGACCAGTGAATGATATTATAATTAAAAAGTCAGATAATAGTTTAAAAAATCAAGTTGTACTGTGCCGAAGACTACCCAAATTTACATAAGAACGACCCTGTTGGTCCAAACCAGTGGTCCAGCATCCTGCTTCACACAGTAGCCAACCAGTTACTCTGGAGGCCAACAACAAATTTACAGCGTGATTTCAGTATATGAACATAAGAAGCTGCCTTATATTGAATCAAACACTATTAGTCCAACAGTGCCAGTACCTTTTATTCTGACTTTCAGTAGCTTTCCAGGTTTCTAGGGAAAGTTCATTCCCTCCAATATGCAACTTGAAATGCTTTAATTGGAGGTTCTGGGGATTGAACCTGGGAACATATGCATGCAGAGACTACGCATGGACCAACCAGCTTCCCTACTGGTTGAACCAAAAAGTTATTCTGGGGATCATGTGACCCGCATGAACAAAAGCAATGTGGAATGGGAGCTGAGATGAGGAAAGAACTTGCCACAATTGAGTTTGAAAGCTATCTGTAGCCAACCCTGTGCTCACCACTGAACTATGGCCTAGCCCTTGTAATTTGGCATAGTTCTGCTACAGAGGTCTTTACAAATGCTGGTTCTTTGCTAAACAGTGGCACCCTCTTTAAATGTCATATTTATGAGAATAATTTGTTTTTCCCTTTCACATGATCTTACTCTAGGAAATGAAGATGCCTGCAGACCACATTTGCTTCATTCATGCCCCATCCTTGCCGGCAAATAAACATCTTCTGGGAATTTACTTCGACTTCAATGAATCTCTCTGATGCATTTTCTGGCTTCAAGAAAACTTCAAAGTTGTCTAGAAGGCAAAATGAAACTTGCTAACACTTCTGTTCAGCTACAAAGCTTACCAGCATGTGACATTCTCACTGTGGCAATTTTAAAAAATGAAAAACGCCCTTGGAGCATGAGCCATTTTAATTCAATTTTAATTTCACTGTAATCTTCAGCCAAAAAGTCATAACTTTTTTTTAACATAAAAGCAAACAAAATGTGGCAATGCAGATTTTGGCCATAGTTCTGGAAACTTATGGAACCAACGTAACCTAAACACTCATGATAACAACATACTGCATTTGATTAAACAAAGTTATGTATAGTTTGCCACTGCAAAGTGAACACAAAACCCCAGTAAACTTGCATTTCTCATTTAAAGAGGAATTCAGTTTTTGATTAATCAAAGCATTCAGGTTCTTGTCTTAAAAAGAAACTGCCAGATGTCCCTTACTATGTTCTAGGATTTTTAAGACCATATCCTGCAGACATTACAGAATAACTGGGAGACCAGTTAATGCCAGTACGCTTGAGCTTCCCATCCTTGTCACTATCAATGACAGAGCTACAACATTCATACCTTGAAGTTTACAGCTTCCTATGCTTCTAAATTTGCTCTTGGAACGTTGACATTCATAGCTCTTTAGTTGACAGTAAGTTCGAAAAGTCCTTCCCTCAGCAGAGCAAACTGAGGTGCCATTCCTTGGGCATTGATAGGGTAGCTTACAGGAACAGGTACCATCCATACACCTTTGCCAGGGCTGGCAAAAAACTTTGCTGCAAGAATTAACCGTATAGCTCTTATTTAGACATTCTTCTATCAAATAATTTTCTTGCTGATCTAGTGGAGCTTGCTGGGTAGGCTTCTTTCGGCTCGTAGGTTTACCCTGTAAGGGGAAAAAAATGCTTCTAGCAGTAATCCAAGCAGAGGATTTGCCCCTGTCCAAATCCATAGAAATCAATGGTCTCAGAAGGCTGTAACTATACTTAGGATTGCACTGGAAATAGCACATAACTTAAACCAGTTAGGTTTTTCTTACAGTTCCTAACAATTAATTAATAAAACATATTACAGATAAAATGTGTTTTATCTAAAAATGATTTTATCTATAAATGATTTTATCTAAAATAAAATTCTTACCTTTACTGCATAAGTGCAAAGAAATAAGGATAAAATGAACATGAGGACTGTTAATAGTCTCATGATGAAGGGTATCTTGCTGTCTATTTAGATCTTCTTTCCTTGCAGTTTTTCCCAGCCTCTGACTTCTCGATGTGTTTAATTTTTAACCACTAGTAAAATATTTAAAAATTGTTTTGAAAGGTACCTCCTTGTGGACTGATGGTTCTGAACTCTGAGAGGACTGTGTCTCAGTTTAGCCTAGCTGACTGTAACTGCGGAAAAGATAAGACCCCAATAGGAATGTACCGGTCTGTCTGCCCAACTCTCACACCTCTCACACCCTTTAAGAGCTTCACACTGTAGCAACTGTACATAGGAACCTCTTTAGACCAGCTGCTGTGGACAAATGAAAATGTCCTCTCTGCTCTGCCAAGGAGGCTCATATTTCAAGGTTCTTTTGGTCAGTTGCTCAATTTCCCGGCACATGGATTAAAAAAGCATTGTGTGCTTAGTTCTGGGACTGCCCATTTCTGGGAAGAGTATTAACTAAATCAACAAAAAAAAATATCTAGTATATCTTATTCCTAATGCTGAAAAATCAACAAATAATAGGCTCTTGTACACACATTCCTAAAACCTTAATACATCACAATAAATAACCTTTTATTCTGACCTACTGAGACTTCAGGCTGGATTCCTAAAAACCTTTTCCTGGGAGTAAGCCCCACTGAATACAGTAAGTCTTAACTACAAGTAGATGTGCTTAAGGTTGCCAACCTCCAGGTGGGGCCTGGAGTTCTCCTGCAATTGTAACTGATCTCCAGACTACAGGAATCAGTTCTTCTGGAGGAAACAGTAGCTTTGGAGGGTGGACTCTGTACCATCACATCTCTGCTTTGATCTCTCACGTGGCATTACCCCCAAATCTCCAGGAATTTTCCAAGCTGCAGTTGGCAACCCTAGGTTGCTCCCATAAGTGTCGGCTATCAAATAGTGGCAGGGGACAAAGATGCCCACCAAAGCATGTACTGGAAAATGCACACTAAATGGGCATTCTGGACACCCTATTGATAGAGCTGGAGTGAAATCTAGTGGAAAAAATTCTTTGTAATGTCTAGCCAGGCCATGAGTCTGCACATTCAATAACATTCATATTGTACATTGCCTGATCTTTTTCAGAGTTAACCTGAAATATGTGGGGGACATCTTATTTATATAGATCAGCCAATATCATAATGCCCCTATATAAATCAATGGCGCGACCTCATCTGGAATACTGTGTGCAGTTCTGGTCACCACACCTTAAAAAGGATATTATAGTTTTGGAAAAAGTGCAGAAAAGGGCTACTCGAATGATAAAAGGGTTGGAACACTTTCCCTATGAGGAAAGGTTAAAGCGCTTAGGGCTCTTTAGCTTGGAGAAACAACGGCTGAGGGGTGACATGATTGAGGTTTATAAGATTATGCATGGGAAAGAGCAGGTAGAGAAAGAGGTACTTTTCTCCCTTTCTTACAATACAAGAACTCGTGGGCACTCCATGAGATTGCTGAGCGGTCGGGTTAGAACGGATAAGAGGAAGTACTTCTTCACCCAAAGAGTGATTAACACTTGGAATTCACTGCCACAGGAAGTGGTGGCAGCTACAAACATGGACGGCTTCAAAAGGGAATTAGATAAGCATATGGAGCAGAGGTCCATCAGTGGCTATTAGCCACAAGGTATAGATAGGGACTCTGGGGCAAGTGATGCTCTGTCATCTTGGGGCTTGGAGGGGTCAACAGTGGGAGGGCTTCTAATGTCCTGGCCCCACTGGTGGACCTCCTGATGACACTGGTATTTCTGGCCACTGTGTGATACAGAGTGTTGGACTGGATGGGCCTTTGGCCTGATCCAACATTGGCATCTCTTATGTTCTTATGTTCTTAGATGCAAGGTGGTTGTTGTTTTTAACTTCAGATCCCTAGCATACCCTCCAACATTTCACAGGTAAAAAACAACATGCTTCTAACATCCCTCTTACCATAGCCCATATCTATATGCTACACTCATTTCCTCTACAGTAGTTTCAACTTTATTGATTTTACATCCAAGAAGACATTAGGTATTGTTTAAATTTGCCACAGACTGCAACAAGCGAAACATCAGACTGTGTATTGCAAAAAGGACTTGAGCATTCATGCACAATAATGTGCATGTGTGGCACAGACAAGATGTATCCCTTCCATATAGGCAGATTTAACTTCTAGAGCTCAGAGTTCCTAGAGATGAAACCTGAAGCACCACCACAGTAGCAAGTCACGCTAATAACAATTTAGCCAAGCACTGCCAAAAGGCAAAAATAAGTACATAATTGGGGCATATAAGGTACCAAGTAGAGCTGCAAGAAAACCAGGACTGTCCTTGCTAAATAGGGGAAATTGGAATATATGCTCCAGTTCTTAATATGCTGACTTGGAAGCAAGATTTACTGCAATTCTGGATGCCGAGTTCAGGTTTAAATAAAGGAAATTTGTTATGTACGTGGACCACCTCCAGGGGTCCGCGGAAAGGCCAGAGCTTGGATCTGAGAACAAAAGAAACTTCGGATCCTGGATTCCCCAGCCCCAACCAATAGCCACCTTGGCGGGACATTCAAACCCTCCAATGGGAGTGGGTGTGTGTGTTGGTGGATATGTATATAGTTGGCCCTGTGGGCCGTTAGAGTTAGTCTTTGTGTTAAGTACAATAAACGTGTGCTACAGTATGTCGTCGTCCGAGTCCTCCATGCAGCGAACCCAGTACTTTTCAAAATTCTTTCCCCAAACTGCATAAAACTACATATCAGAAAGGAAACCATCCACATTCTTCCAGTATTTCCTGGTAGGATCATGCAATAAATTGCAATGCAATAAATTATTTTAATAATAGTAAAAAGAGTAAATAGTAAATTTGCATTCCTTGTTCTGCCAATACACATACACACTCCTGTGATTTATTTTGAATAATATATTTGTAAGTTGACCTGGTTGATGCCCGTAATGGAGAGTCCCAGGGCCTCGAACCATGCGAGTCCCAGCAAGCTGGAGAGAGGCCGGTCCACAACCAGTAGGTCCAGTTGGCCCTTGAAGCCTTGAAACTGGACCCTGAACTTGCCCCAGCCCAACACCGCTACGGGGTTCTTGTTAAAGTCCCGTAGCCGGAAACCCCGTGACTTCTGTAGCGGTGGCCCCCCCTTTGGACACAACGAGCGGAGCGTATCCGCGGATATGATGGAGTAGGTTGACCCGGTGTCGATCTCCATGGTGCAGGGGCCTCCCTCTATGAGGACCGTCACATGCAATTTGTTGGGGCCGTCGGGGGGCAAGTTACAGACCTGGTTTTGCAAGAAGTGGGACGACACGGTGTGGAGCTCGAAGGGCGGTTCCGCGGTGGTCTGGTGTGCCGCCGATCTCGGGCGTTGTCCCTTTGCCCGGCAGACCTTTGCGATGTGCCCGGCCTTGTTGCAGGAACGGCAGACCGCGTTTCGGAAACGGCACAACTTGCGCTCGTGGTCCTCTCCGCAGCTGGCACACAGGATT